GGGCAGTGTGTGACAAGACAGTGAATATGCCTGTGTGTCTTTATACAATGTGTCTTTGTGAGTCCATGGCTTTGCGTTGGAGAGAAAGATCTGGCTGTTACTCGAGAGAGGGAACGAGAGAGAGAGAGAGAGAAAGAGAGAGAAGTGGTTGTGGGTCTTCCTTTTCTCTGCAAACTCTTCCCTCACTTTGTTCCATTTTTAACCTCTGTTGTCACCCTTTATTCTCTTTTCATAACCCTCTTTATTAACAGGCCATTACAATGTTTCTGACAGCCTATCGCCTCATTCCGAGCTCTACCCCGTTCCTCCTTCTTTCATGCTTTCCGTCTCTTACTGACCTTCTTTCTTTCTAATACTTGTATTTTCCTGAATGCGACACAGAAAATAGGAAAGACCCTGTTAAACTCACACAAAAGAGTAAATACCTAAACATGATTAGATCTTACATTCGCTCCAGTTATATTTCCCGTGAATTATCTATACCCCTTACATTCCCTTTAAATCTTCCTCTTTTCTGTATCTCATTTACAATTCCTCATGGTCTGCATGTCCTCTTTCAGCTTCTATCCCTGTCTTTTGTGGTCCTATGAAGGGGGGCTTGTGAGGACACTGAAGCTGTTTCATGGCATGCCATTGAATAGTTATCAGGACACGTCACTCAATATTAACCTGCTGGTGGTGCTATAAACCAGGGGGTCATTTAAAGGTGCTTTACTCAAGATTGGGGGCATTTTTTATTGCCTCTCAACGGCTCTCAACATGGCAATGGCAGAGTCGGTGGATGTCGGCAAACATTGCTAACAGTGCTAACAGTGCAAACTATGACAAAAGTGGTGATAGAGCTAACAGTGTTTACCTGAGGGGAAACCAGAGAAACCGCCGTATGCAGAGCAGCGGCCGCAAGCTAACCAGTGGGACACGCTCACATGCACTAACAATGCTCAGTGGTGTATAAATTACCCAAAAGCCATACTTGAGTAAAAGTAAAGATACCTTACTGGAAA